CCCTTCGGAAAAAAGGAATCAGTTCATAAAAATGGCTAATTAAGGTCATCAATGGCTGTGGTCATGCAAATAATGACACCGATAAGGCTATTACAATATCAAACCATTCTGGGGATTTTCAATACGTCATGAGCAATCACACTTGAAATCAAGACATGACCGCATTGTTTTTTCGCATGCGTTTTTGCGACATCAGTTTAGAGCATTGGGTTCGTTTTTTAACATTTAAAAACTGCGTAGATACCTATTATGAAATAACCTATTCTAACCTCTCCTTCTGGTTCAGGCATGCGTAAAAGGGCTGCGACAATGGATGACTTGCCAGCTCCTGTTCTGCCTGCAATACCTATCTTCTCCTTGTCAGCGATGGACACGCTGATGTCTTTCAAAACCAGGGGACCACCTTTGGTGTACCTTAGGGACATCCTGCTGATGGTTAGGTTACCCCTCTGCGGCCAGGACGATGGAGGACAAGATCTTGTGCTATATCCTGGCTCAGCTTCTAAAGCAGTATACCACATTACTCTCTCTACAGATGTCATATTGTTTTCAACTTCAGAACTTACTTTGACGCCGTACTGTACCTCATCCAACGATTCAAGCAAGAACGAAAGGGACATCCCTGCCAAAGCTAAAAGATGGTTTTTGATAAGATCATCGGTATGATTAAGGCGCGAAACGCTTCTTTATCGTTTTTATAATGTCTATGTTTTGCGTCTGCACGTCCATCTATGTTACTGGTTTTCTACCCGGCTTTCAATCTTTATGCCTTTCGGTTCAATTAGATTTGTCTATCTGTTTATTTGGCTAGCTGTTACTATGTCTGTTTATTTTCTCTTCTGTCACTTCGTGTTTCTTTGTGTCTGTGTTTAGGTCCAACGTGGTATGTAGTAGTTCAATTTTTGTCTGTTAATTTCATTATGTTTGTTCATTTGTCTTTCTGGATGCTTAGGCCTGCATAGCTTTGCCTTTCTCTGTCTATCAGCTTTTGACAGCCCATTGGTCTTTCGCTTCATCGCTTCGCCACCAATCACTGAGCAGAACTTCAGCAAAAATCTGTTTCTAAAACGGTCGCATCTTAGAAACTCTGAAAAATGGTGCAACGTTACCTGGGCTTTGAGTGACAAGAACTGCGCCAATTGCCGCGGCAGCTATCATTAGACTGCAAGCAGTAGTCATGCGCACACTAAGCCACTGTGTGCTGGTGATTACCATGATTGCAGCTGATGTGTTTTCATCCTGGTGTCTTAGAAGATGAAAAGAATCAAGTTGCATGGTAAGACATTTACACTAAAAAAATCCATGAGAATTTGGGATGAGAAAATGGGAAAAAATGTTGAAAGAACCCAATAAGGCAGGGTAATCTCCCTTTCTCTCTCTAGTTTTTTGTCATTTTACCTGGTATTTGACATAGTTAAAATCACTACAACAGTTATCCTTACCAGCCAATCACAGCTGAGCACTTAGCTTTAAAAGGTGACACGTCCCCAGTAGAAAGGACAACAACAGTATGCATTACCAAAGTCACGATTTGCATTAGAAGTGAGTTAATCATGAAAAAACAATAAGTAATCATTACCAAGTTTCATTACCAAATCTCGAACAGCTTTATCAGGGGTTTTAGATTGTACACTTACCTAAATAGACTCTTCAAGAAACCCTGCTCCATTTGAGATGAGCGAATTACTTCAAGTCCGGCGACGGTTTCTAAAATGTGTGAATATACAGGGCTGCAGGTGATAGCCTCCAATCGTTTAATTTCACGAGATGACTTTATATAATATCGTCCATAACATAAGACAACTGCAACGACAGGAATTGCCACTAAAATAAGCCAGGCGTTGGCTGCAATAGGAAGAAGAACGGTGCTAATGGAGAATAAAGAGACTTCCACAGCCAGGAGAAAGCGAGTAGGCAAATCATCGTCCATGACACTGATATCTTTAGAAAAACGATTTAAAATGCGTCCAACTAGAGTTTTGTCGAAAAACAGAACTGGTGCCTTTAGGACAGCCAAGACCATCTTGTTATGCAACATTTCAGAAGCTAGGAGGAGTGTAAGACAAACAAGGAAAGACACAACTATGTTGCCCAAAAAGGATGATCCAACAAGAGCGCCGTATATTCCCAATGTCGTAAAGGATCTTTGTCCTTCCTGACTCATTTGCGTAACCTGGGAAGCCCACCAGTAAGAAGCAACCAGTAACCCTAAAGAGAACAAATGGAAAATAATAATCCTAAAAGGTATGTTACTGAAATTAAATCGTTGGAACGAGGAGTGAATACTTCCAGTAGAGATGAGCAGGTATCTATATTCTGAGAGAATCACTTTATTAACAATCTGGATTTCAAATACCTGGTACGTCGGCTCCAACATAAATATTTATCTAACGAAAAAAATTAATTTGATTGGGCAACTATATTGGTTTCATAGAGATCCTGTGAGGTAACCAAAAGAAATTAAAACTTCGATGCTACCCATACCAATGAAACTGGAACTATTTAATTACAATGTTGTTCTAATACCTTTTATGCCAAGAACAGCCAGAAAAAGGCAGAGCACAAAAGGAACTCTCAGGGCTGTCCTGATGTAGCTCCAATATGTCTTCCAAGTAATGGAACCAGTATTGCGGTCTTCTTCCTCTATTTTTAAAGTTTGATCCCCAAGGTCTTCTTGATGAGGAAGTTGAGTTGGTCTATGCGGGGGTGATTTGCATGTCGCCTTGGCACTTTCTGTTTGGGAAACAAACTGAAAAGTTTTGGAATCTTCCTCCCTGAAGCAATGTCCTTCCTCGACTTGGACACCGTTGTTCAGCACCATTACGTTAGGTATGTGAGTTAAGTAGTTACGCTGATGCGTCACCAAAACACGAATCCGGTTTGAGAGAAATCCACAAATGCAGTTATTAAAGAGATGTTTTCCAACTTTGGCATCCACTGCACTGAGGGGATCATCCAGCAAATAGATATCTGCAGCAGAATACAGTGCACGTGCTAAACTTACACGTACACGCTGACCACCACTGAGACTTACGCCACGGTGTCCTATTTCGGTCAAGTCTCCTTTAGAGAAGTTTTGTAGGTCTGGTTGCATACAGCAAACATCAAGAATTTCGTTGTAACGTTTAATGTCAAGGTGTCTTCCAAAAAGAATGTTGTCTCTAACGGTGCCCGAGAAAACCCAGGGAATCTGTGGAACATATGCGACTGTTCCATTAAATGCCACTGTTCCACTGATAGTAGGTAGCTCTCCAAGAATTGCCATCAACAGAGAGGACTTTCCACTCCCTACTGGTCCTGTTACAGCTAACATCTCACCCTGGCTCACAAAAAATGTAACGTTCGTTAAAGCTCTCCTGTCTTCACGTCTGTCCCATGAAGCCGAGACTCGAACCATAGATAGCCCGTTCTTTTCTGTATCTATCTTCGTTGGAGTTTTAGATACAGAGTGAAGTTTAGTGTCTCCAGATCTGAAGCTCTCTGGTCTGAAGACGGCTGTACTGCATCTTTTTCTTTTCAATCGCCTATCCTGCTTAGCGAATAGAGCCGATGTTAATCCAAACTGCCTTAACATAAACTTCTCGATTCTTTTGA